TCCCCGTGGGGCAGGAGAGGTAGGTGAAGATGGGGTTCACTAAGGGTACCGTAGCCCGGGGGTTGTCGCTGACTCTCTGCTCTGACTTTGGACCCACAGAGGCTTATCCGTGGGGACAGGCAGAGCTGTGGGGCTCAGCCCCCTTGTTGGGGTTACGCTTTTTCCTTCCAGAACCTGCGCAGAGATGGATACACAGGGCCCGGTCCTGAGTATCATGGAAGAGTTCAAGAGAATAGTAAGTCTCTTGTTCCCATGGGGTTTATGGCACTTACAGCACTGTGGTTGTAAATGCAGCACCTCTCAAATGGACCTGAGATTTGCTGCTGGTAATGGGCTCAGAGGGACACCTGGAAGCCCCAGAGGAGTTGCGGAGGGGAGTCAGAACTGTGGGTCAAGTCAGAGAGGTCTCTGCTCACAAACCTCCTCTGACTCCTCATCTTTTCTGTGCTGCTGTCATGCTGACTTTAGGATTACAGCAAATGGCAGAAGACAGCAGCAGAGGAGAGAAAATCTCCAGCCCGCAGGTTGACTTTGCCACCGCTCACTGATGAGGACAAGAAGAAGAAAGGGGAGAAGAACAAACCAGGTTGGGAGAGATTCCTTTACACACCATCCTGCTATCCCTGCCTGCTGGTGCTGCTTTTGCATTAACCTAGTGCTTTCTGCTGGGAAATGTTCAGCGAAAGCCACAAAAAGAAAATCACCCAAGGGGAAATGCTGAAAATAAAGAGGGAGAACTAGAAAAGACCAGGGAACGCTTTGTAGGCTCAGCTCCTGGGCTGTAATTGCAAGCAACTTTTGCTGGGGCTGCAGAAGGTTTGAATTCAGTCTCTCATTTATTCTTTATATTTCCCTCAGCCACATATGACAGGAGAGAGTAGATATAAGGCATTGAAACTGGACTGTGAAATAAGCACAGGCCTTTTTTTTTGTTTCAGTAGTTGCATTTATGCCGAGTAAAAAAACACCCTTGCCTTCGGAGACGTCATCATCCCAGGAGAAATACAGAAGTTTTGCTCAGAGGAAATTAGCACTCAAGAAGGCTGAATTAGCTAATACCTTGGAAGAGATCAAAATTGCCACGGTACATGCAACAAATAGCCAGTGCTGGGATATAAGTAGCAAATCTATACAGTTACCCTGGCTGCCTTTATGGAGGAAATTCTAGCGGTCTGACTCACTCTTGCAAAATGGCACATGTTTATTTATTAATACTGGAGGTAATTATGCTGGTCCGCTTAATGCTGGTGATCTCTAACCTTGATATTGTTTATCAAGAAAAATGAAGAGAAACCAAGAATCCAGACTGTAGCAGTAGGAGGGATGAGATTTAGGAACTCGTGTTAGGAAAGATGGTCGGTATCAGATTTTCTCAGTGTGGCAAAGAAAAGGTTGAGGTGGAGGACATGACTACAGCTTTTTAGTAGGTGAAAGATGGTTATAAAAGAGAAGGTGAAAAGGAATGTGGGAGCAGGGGTGTGCTGTATGGGGGAAGTCAGAGCGCCTCGGCAATGAGGCTGGGGTTCGTTGTGTGATGCCAGGATGGCCAGGGCCTTGTTAGTGCTGTTATCATGGGACAGGAATGTCACAGGAATGGCAGACGATGGTGAGAAAACTTGGGGCAAGTGGGACTGGTGGAATCCACAATGCTTCAATCCACATATTCGTGTAGAATCTGACCAGTCTGAAGAAAAACGCTATTGAGGAGTTGAAGCAGTGCAGTGCCCGCCTGGCAGAGACCAATTGCCAGCTGATTAAGGACATCCAGCACACCGATGACATCACTGCCAAGCAAGCCAGGGCCCTGCTGCAGCAGTATGAAGTACTTCAGGTGAGGCTTTAGGGTTGACCAACAGACCCAATTCAGCAGAATGCAGAACTTTCTGTTACTCATTAGTACTGGACAAGGGTCAGGCACTGCCCAGCCCCTTCCACTGCACCGAATGTGACTGGAGCATCCCCAGTCCTGATGCCCAAAGGTCCTGTGACGTGCTTTTGTTTTGTGCCTGTGTTTTAAAGCCAAGAGACCACCTGACTGTAACTGTCCCAGGCAACAGTAGTCACCCCTGTAACACCCCAAATACATCCCTCCATAATGTCCTTGGCTCCAGCTGGCTCCTGAAACACCACACAGCTCCCCAGAGCAGCTCCCATGCATGAGCTGGCACCAGCCACAGCAATGGATTCCTCTGTGCTGCTAATGCAAACAACAGCACATGAGAGGAAGGTCAGGGATGGCGCAGGGGGATGTTTCAGAGCTCTGTGGAATGAGCAGTGACTGGATTTCTCCCTGTGCAGAGAGTGAAGGCAATGGTACAGACCTTCAATCAGAACCAGCTGGATACAGCAAGGGCAGAGCTCCAGGAAATGGAAAAAACAATGGAAAAGAATCTGGGAAGTGAGTTACTCACATTACTATGAAATGCAGTCTATACAATCGTGTTACCTTTGCTTTCCATCTTATTAGGTTAAAGACACTGTGTTGATCTTATAAATGTCAAACAATTCCATTTCTGAAAATGAATCCCATTTGCTCTATGGGGATGATCTTCCCGTTCACCAGCCAGGAGGGAGAGAGCCCTGTGACACTCAGCAGCCTGTGCTCGGGGGCAGGGGGGAGGGGGTCAGAAGAATTACCTCCTTGGCAGCGGTTTGCACTGTCCCCTTGGGGCAGGATCTGGTCGAGGTGGTCTGACTTGGGGTGGCCATTCCCATGTCCCTCAGGGTGTGTAATCTCTGTCGAGAGAAGGGCTCAGGTAAATGCAAGACAGACTCCTTAGCACAGTGAAGAAGTGAAGCTCTGGAACCCCTGGGTTGAGATTTTCTGTTTTGACTTTCAATCAGAGCTACAGCAGCAGCTGGATGAAGTCACATCAAAGGTACAGGTTCTCCAGGACAAGCTCGGCATCCTGCGGACCTACATCAATGGGCAGTATCCAGAACAAGCTGTCCAGATAGTCCTTTTGCAGCACAGCATCCAGAACCTAAAGGAGCAACAGCAGGTACTGAGACCTCTCCTTCCCTACAGCATTGCCAGGGAGGAAGGAATACAATGGTTATCTTGCCTAACACTCCTGTTGTTTCTGTGCACTGCTTCCTGCCATTCTCAGGAAGAGATAAAGAAGACAGAAGAAATGGGGAAGGCCATCTTGGAGGAACTGGAAGAGAAGACACGGGCAGAAGAAGAGGCGCTATTACAGAAAGTCGTGGAGGTTTGTGGAGTCGATGTGACATCCCAGCAAGGGGGATCAGCTTCTGGGAGCTGGGAAACAAGGCATGGGCTGCCACACATAGCCCATTAGGAATAGTACGGTGCAGCCAGCACCCAAAGAGTAACAGACCGTTGCTGCTCCCCTCCTGATGCCGTACCAGAGCTGTTTGTCAGGCTGGGAGGGTACATGGGAAGCACTTCTGAGTTGCTGCTGTAGTCTGATGTGTTGCAATATTCTCAGGCTCGCTCCTGAGAGTTTGCCGCATGGAGGTGAGTGCACTGTGACCCGATATTCACCCTGCTTTCATGGTCCCTGTTTTATTACATTATTTAGGTAGCTGCTTCACTAATTGGCTGTGACAGTGCTGTGGCAGTGCACGTATGTTTGTAATAAATTCATGAGGAGATTAAACTATATGCAGCGCTACAGAGCAGGGACTGCTGTCGTTCTTCCCAAAATAAGAGGAACTGCTGTTGCATGGTTCCTGCTCACACGTGCTTAGCACTTTTCCTGGGTTAGCAGCTTGAGAGCACTGAGAAAATAATAGTTACTGACTCGATTTACAGCCAGCTTTGCGTAGAGTTGCTGTGCCCTCTTACAGGTGAATTTGTAAGGACGGGTGATACAAGTAACACAAGCAATATTAATAAGCTTTCCCTGGGAAGCTGAACTGTATCTCTTGAGTTCCTCAGTCTTATTCCATGATCAGCACAATGTGATCTCAATGACGGGTCCTTTCTAGAGCTGGAACCCAAACCTTATTCGAGCAGAAATTATTTCCTTGAAGAGTGACCCATCTGGACATGGCCAACACTAGCACCCAGCAGTGGCAGGGTTTTGTGCTGGCGGTTACTGGGGAGTTTCTTCAGCTGGTTTTCATCTCTTCACCCACACAGGAGATGCTGCTGCACCAGGATGGCCTGAAGCAGATGGTGGTAAACAATCACGTTCTGCAATGTGAAATACTGAGGCAAAGGGAGGTGAGCAAGCTGGGGAAGAACCAGTGCAGTGCAGCAGAGCCAGCCACCCTCAGCCCTTGCCCTTCATGAGGATTTTGTCTGCCTTAGTGGGGCATGTTGCCTTCCATTTCCACTGGAGTCAGTGGGCTGTTAGGACACCCTGAGGACGAGAAGTCCAGCAGGTATTTCAGGAAGCCTGATAGGGGCTTGCTTGCACGAGGGATGTTTTCTAGCTCTGCTGTTTGCAAAATCTTTATACTTTAATTCCTGCTTTTCTTGCAAAGTAAAGAACTCTTGGAAATGTCGTTCATTCAGATTATTAAGGACCTGGAGGAGGAGATTGGTGAGCTGAAGAGAAGCATCCAGACACTTCGCCAGAGAGCAAGAGACTCAAAAGAGCTGATCTTTGCTGACGTTCTTCTCCGCAGACCAAAGTAAGGCTGGTCAGTGGGTATGCACAGCCCTTTCCCTGTGGCCTTGGGTTGCAGAGTCTTTGCCACTGAGTGCCAAAGTGAAACCTTACCCCATCATTTCCACAGGCATCACTGTTAAACCTACACCTAGCCTGGGGTATAAACCCACAGTGCCTACACTGACTCTTACTTTACTGTTGTTTTCACTTTGTGGTTGGGAAACAAAATTGAGGGAAGGGGGCAGGCTCGTGAGGAGCATCCCTGGTGAGACAGGTCTTGCCCATCTAGAGCCACCTTGCTGGTCGTGTGAAATGGCACCAGCGGTCTGTGAGAGCAAAGATGGGCAGCCATTTCCCTAATATGTAAAAAAAAAAAAAAAAAAAAAGTGTTGGTGGCATTGGCTGGCAGCAAAAAGGCAAAACTTTGTTTCTGACTGCTCTTTCCCCTGCCCCAGTTCTCTGGTAGCTAATTACTTCCTGAGTGGATGTTGTGGGTAATCCCCACTCCCGCTTACCGCTGTGCGCTGTGCTGATACTGGATATAAGAATTACAAAGCGTAAGGTGAATCCTCACTTAGCGTTGATGGGGAGAAGGCCCTTGGCAGCTCGATCACAGGAATACTGGCCTCTCCTCTCCGGGGACAGACCAGATGGGCCAAGTCTGTGGGCTGAAGCATACCAACAACCAGCTGTGACAAGCTATTTTCTGCCATACCCATGATATGCTAAAGTCACAATGCTGCCCCTTGTTCCGTGGCAGTGGGGTCCTGCACAGGACAGGACAACTCACAAGTGATTTAGAGCTGCTGAGGTGCCTCGGCTTTCTGTGCTGTCCACTGACCAGGGGTACAAAGCTGAGAAAGAATGGGTCAAATGTGTTTAAATCTTGAGTATGCTGCAGCCTGAAACTCGTAAGTTGTGTGCAGAACAGCATGCATATGCACGTTTATTTACAGCAACTGCCTATACAAATTGTTCTTGGCGCAGAGACATGTCTTAACAGAGTCATTCCTTTCCAGCAGCTCCCGCTGCTGCAGGTGCAGGCCAGCCCCTCAGCTCCTCCGCACTTCATGCGCACACAGGGGTTATTTTGCAAGTATAGAATAGATTAGGATGGTTTGGGTTGGAAGGGACCTTAAAGTCCATCTAGTTCCAACCCCCTGCCATGGGCAGGGACACCCTCCACTAGACCAGGTTGCCCAAAGTGCCATCCAACCTGGCCTTGAACGCTTCCAGGGATGGGGCATCCACAGCTTCTCTGAGCAACCTGTTCAGTGCCTCACCACCCTCACAGGGAGGAATTTCTTCCTTATATCTAATCTAAATCTCCCCTCCTTCAGCTTAAACCCATCCCCCCTTGTCCTGTCACTCCATGCCTTTGTAAACAGTCCCTCCCCAGCTTGCTTGTAGGCCCCATTTTGTATGAAGATGTCATCCCTTGGGGTGAGCAGATGCTTGCCAGGCAAACTGGTGGCAGTGCAGGTGACAAGAGGGGCTGGATCTTCCGCTCCAGGGCCTGGGTTTTAGCTGGAAGCCAGGTATGGCTGCAGCACTGTGGAGGCATGAGCCAAAGCAGGAGGAAAGCCTGGAACGTGTCAGGAGACCGGAGGGGGAGGCGAGCGACTGCATGATGGATTAGTGCAACTTAATTTTTTTGCAATAAAAAAATGATAAAAAAGGGAATTAATTAGCCTCAACAGCTGGTAGGGCTGGAGTTACTGAGGGTGACTGGGAGAAGAGTTAAAAATAGCAGGAAGGCCCAAGTGGAAAGTTTCTGTAACATCACAAGTCAGGCATTTGGTGCTTACCCGCCCTGACAGGCGGGAGCCTGTGCCAGAGCCCTCTCCGCCATCTCCCCCATCCCGCAGCCCTTTCCCACTGACCTCCCTGCAACTTTTCACACGACTTCACCAGCCCTTCATTTTTTTCTAATTAACCCTTTGGTTCCAGACACTGGATTTTCTTCTTGAAAGAGCGAAATCAGACAGGAGCTGCGTTCAGCCTGGAAGCATAAGGGTGTGTAGGCGTCTAGGACTCTTGCTGGCCTTCCGTGGGTCCCTGCATGCTGCTGGCAGCGTGTGGAGCCCGGAGGAACTGTAACCCCCTGTGTATCCATTCCCATCTGCATTTCAGTTTCCTCTCATTAAAAATCCTCTTGCTTCAAGAGGCCCCGGGTGGATTTCACCAGCAGCTCCAAGCCCTGTGCTGGGGGCACTCTGGATGCACAGTTTGTCCTGGACGGAGACGGAGATGGATGAGACCAGCTCTGAGCAAGCCCAGCTCGCTGTGCTTGTCCTGTCTCTGCGAGAAAGCAGATGTACCTGGCTTCTCTGATGGGCTTTCTCTGCTTCTGTTTGTCTTTCAGGGTTGACAGCGAGGGGTGGCTAATTTCATTCCTTCTCCCTCTCAGAGCCCCAGGGGTTACATCTGGCTCTGCCTCTGGGAAAGCCAGTGAGCACCGAGCCTGCCTTGCAGAGGGTTCAGTTGCAAGCATGGTCTAAGAAAGGGCCGTGAGCGGGGCTCAGGCTTGGAACTGGTTGCTTTTGTAACCAGAATGGTTAGTGGCCAGGGTAGACCATGAAGGGCAAGCCGAAAAGCAAAATAGTGCTGGGGTGAGCTGGAGGTCGGGCTGGGCTCTGGTTCGTGCTACACAGGGGCTGTGCCCGGCAACCCACATCTGGGTTTAAAGGGTTTTTCCCCCTGCTCCCCCAGCTGCTTGCTTTGTCCTGTGTCCCAGAACAAGTGTGTGGGCTCTCCTGACCAAAAACCAGTCCCGGATCCCGGGGACACAGAGAAAGACGGTGGCACAGCCGTCACAAGGCAGGCTTCCCTCCACCCGCCTCGTGCCCTCTGATAACGGGGCTGCCGTGCAGGGGATAGGATACCTCTGAACTCTGGGTGGGCTGCACAGATCATCCGAGCAGTCACCCCCCTGGCTGCACCAGGAGCTTCTCCTCCTCACACTGAACCAGCCAAAGCGTGGTGGCTTACTCCCGCTCTTTGCTTTGCCCCTCCTAACTCTCCTCTCTGTCTCTCAGGTGCATGCCAGACACGGAGGTGGTCCTCAGCATCCCCGCCAAGGAGATGCCGCTCATCTGATGCTCGGTCAGGCTCCACTCACCCAGCACACGGCTCGGCCGGACTCGGGTGAGGTGCTGAGCTGCAGAGCCCTCCTTTCCCGTCGGCA